TCCCAGAATACGTCCATGATTCCCAGAATACGTCCGCAATTTGGGAGTCTTCCTAAAAAGTACAAACAAAAGAGGGACAACAGGATGCCAACGATCGACGGTGTGAATGCGTTTTGGTGCAGGGAATCCGGGGGCAGGAACGTATACAGGCCAGGCCGTGAGGATAACCCAAGCGTTGAACAGAATGCGTGTGTGGGCGTGCTACAGAATGCTCGAGCCATTTCTTTAACTAGCCATGAGAAACTAACAAGATTCATTTCTGTCCATCATTGTCAGGAGGAAAACATGGGACGAGATTCACCAGCGAAGAGGACTCCACAGGACCTACACCAGGCGAAAACAATAGACTCTCCGAAATGCCACATTGTGTTCCTACATTGGAGGAGTCTAGACCGACATCTGATAGTGGAGCATGGGCCACGAGTGTTTTATTGGTGCCAGCAGTGTTCACACAATAACAATCGGCGGGATAATCTGCCGATGCATTTATAAAGATTGTCATCCGTCTTGCCTGGCTGAGGTGAATGGGATCAGGGCTGAGTCCTATGAGGACAGGGAACGTGAGGTGCGTACCAGGAGCGAGGCAGGAAGGCATCACCAAGAGGACAAAAGGTCACCTAAAAGTAAACGGGATGAACCAGGTTCCCAACCAGAGGTCAAGTCGCGTTCTGCTGGACGGAGCGAGATTGGACCTACTGCCGCTACAAAGAAGCATAGCCGGGACAAGAAAGATGAAGAAGAGGTGACAAGGAAGCGCCCTAAAGAGAAGAAGGCGCCATCGACAGTTTCATGTGCATCTGAGGAGGAGGAGGCACGAAGCAGTACAAGTGTTCGCAATTAGCCTGATGAGCCAAGGCGGAGCTCTACTCTTCAGATGCTGTCGTAACACCCTTTAAACGTAACACCCAAGATGGAGGCGAAGGGAGAATCGAAGGGGTCAGGCGTCGTTGAAGTACCAGATGTTGATGTGGAGCTGGAAATAGCAGCAATCTTAGGTGAGAGTGCAAGTGGAGAGCTCCCAGAGATCACACTGTCGCCTACCCCTCCGCTGATGATGGATTTAGAGCCACCAAGAGCCAGCCGTGCCGCCGAAAGGGAAGCCAGGACGGATGATAGAAGTTATGAGGGAAGAGGCCAAACGACGCGATGGTCAGGGAACCACTGCTAAGAAGGGAGAGCACATCCTGTCAACACCTTTGCACCTAGACAGGCTGCTACCGGGACAGGCAGTCCGGATCAAGGAAGTTAAGGAAACCTACTTGCCTAAAGAGGCTTTGTTGAACTGTTTGTTGAACTGTTTGTTGAACTGTTGAGGATCTATTTTGGTAACATTTGTTAAACACTTGTTTAAGTTTGTAATGGAGGAGGCATTTTGAACTGTTTTATATAAAGTTTCATCAGAAGTTTTGATAAAGTTTTGTTTTGTAAACTAAAGGAGAGTTTGTATAAGGCCGAAGTAGGTCAAACCATCATTTTGTATAAGGACCTAGGTAGGTCAAACCATTATTTTGTATAAGGCCAAAGTAGGTCAAACCAGTGGCGTAGCCACCGCGGGGGCGTGGGGGGGCGACCGCCCCCCATGAAACCTTGTCGCCCCCCCAGTCGCCCCCCCCCCCCCTGAGATTTTGAGTTTCTACAAAAAATTATCATTGATCTACATGACGCCATGGGCCCTATTATGTACTACAATGTATCTTTTGCTTAGAAAATATTGGTTAAAGTGGTCAGAAATTGCCTCAGATAGCACCACAGAGCATTTAGAATCCAAAATTTTTCGGGGCCCTTAAGCGGGCCCCGAACCCCACGCCTATAGCTCAGAATTCTGGTAGCTGATTCAATGACTAGAACCTCGAAAACAATGTTCACAAAATTTTCTTATGCCTTTGGCTGAGAAAACCCCGAAAATTATGTTTAAATTATTATCTTTTTGTGCTAAGATAAATATTGGTTAAAGTGGTAAGAAATTGCCTCAGATCACACCACAGAGCATCGAAAATCCATTTTTTTTTCGAGGCCCTTAAGCGGGCCCCGAACCCCACGCCAATAGCTCAGAATACCGATAGCTGATTCAATGTCTCCAACCTCGAAAACGATGTTTAAATAATTATCTTTTGCCAAGAAAATATTAGTTAAAGCATGGAGGAAAGTCGTAAGAAATTGCTTCAAATCACACAACAGAACATCTAGAATCCAATTTTTTTTCGGGGCCCTTAAGCGGGCCCCGAACCCCACGCCGTAAGGGCTTCGCGCTTGCATCAGTTATGATCAAGGTATGTCCCTCCCCCCCCCCCCCCCCCACTTTGAGAAGCGATTGACACCCCTTCTTGACGCCCCCCCATGAAATGTTCCAGCCCCCCCAGCGCCCCCCCCCCCCCCCCCCCTGAAAAATTCCTGGCTACGCCACTGGGTCAAACCATTATTTTGTATGAGGACCTAAGTAGGTCAGCAAATTATTTTGTACAAGGATTCCAGATGAGACATTTTTGACTGTTATTAAGTTAAGTTTTATTCAAGTGAGCCAAAGGTGGGATAGCACCTTGTTAGGAGTTATAGTTTTTATAACTGTTCCTTATTGTGATCCGTTTTTAGGGTCAAGGGACTGACCAAACCTGGGGCGCGGCTGTGTAGCGGAACAGTTAATATTGGCGCACTAGGCTCACCGTAGTTTAGTTGGTTGGTACCCGGACTTCTGTCCGTTGTACAACGTGCGAATTGCATGGCTGGTTGGTACCCGGCGCGGGTATATAAGCATTGTGTGCTTTAGCTGTAAATTGTGGCATGAAGCCTAGCACAGTTCCCGCTCAGAGACTTGGAGTTGCTGAAGCGTGTGCAGTACAGCTGTGGTCAGTCTCTCATTCAGGAAGAGCACTGGTTTAGTTCCTGTGAGTGCAGGGATTAGGAAATCTGATTGTTACGGGAAGCATTCCAGTTAAGTTCTTGAGGATTATTGGGAGGGGCCAATACCTACACCTGGTCAGGACACACCTAAGTACGACAGACCTAAGTAGGACGCACCTTATTGGTCACAAGTGGTTATAATAAAGCAGTGAAGCCCTAAGTACCTGAGTGTCTGATCTATTCATTGGACGTTAACCCTCCCCGAGTGTGTTGTCTCCCCGAGTGTGTTCTTGAGGTTGCGTGAGAGTGCGAGTGAGTGTGTTCCCTGCGCGCCTGGCGGTCCTGTTCCCCTGGCCTTCCTCACAGCCGCTCGTCGGGTCGGCAGAGAGCAATATCCAAGGCATCGTCGACGCAAGACCGCCACAATATCAAAACAATTTGCGCGCGTTTCTAGGAATAAAAACGCTAATTACATGAAAAACTGTGCTATGATTGGCTCCTACCCAAATGGGTAGGAGCCAATTGCAACAAACATTAATCACCATAGACTGTATACAAACGAGGAACAAACGAGTGCATTCGCTTGGCAGAATGACCAAGTCTGGGTTGCTGCATCACTAGAAAATAACATGTACAAGTATGTTTTTGGCTTGATGGTCTGGATTTGATGCATGAGGGCGATGCAAACCTGGGAAATAAATGTACGGTAGGACATACCTCCTTTGGAGTAACACTTGTGCGCACTTTACTTCTGCTGTACATGACTTTGCTCTATGTCGACATCAATTCGGCATCAGGGTGACCAGAAAACATTGCCAAATTCTGCTTCGATACCCTTTCCTGCAGGAAACAAAGATTCACTTTTATGTACAGGTGTGTACACGTACACGTATGTCATGGAAAGTGGTACTTAAGGTATTTGAATTTTGTGGCAAAGAATGGAGTACAATGGTGACAATGATGATATAACAAAATTAAGATGTTACATGCATGTATGAACTATATAGCAAGTGCCCAAACTATATGGGGTAGTATATACATGTACATGCCCAACTTAATAAGCCAAATGTGGAAAGGTCCTCAAGAAATAAATTTCACTGCATTTTGTCAAATTTGGTATTTTTCAATTATGTAGCTACTGCATGTGCATGTCTTTAATATACCGGTATTCACATCTGATTTAAAAAAAGAAGTTGTACAAGGTACATGCAATCGAGTTTCCGAACATTTATGTTAGTGGTAAGTGGATGTGCCTTATCACTTTCCTTTCCGTGCATACAGCTCCAAAAATGGCCAGTGACATTAATTGATTTAATCCTGGAAAATTAATATAAAATCAACCATGAAACACCTCAACTTGAATTTTGTGGGAATTGATAGAATAATCCAGTATCTTCATTTTATCTCCTGCGTGCCAAATCACGTGACCCTTCCTTCCGGTCCAAACCGGAAGTGCCTCATAATTTGATATATCTCATGAATGGTAAGTCTGATTGGGTTGAAACTTGGTACATGTAGGTAGGCCTGGGATGTGTTATAGATCATTGTGTGATTTTTTATCAATTTTTGAGGTTGTGAAGATAGTCTCTCGAACCCAAAGGCTAAATTCAAAATTCTTTTTGTTTTAGGTTTGTTAGGTAAAGCCAAGAAAATAAAAAATTCTGCTGCCGGTTACCCAACCGACCCTATTTTTAGGCCACAACCCTACAAATTTTATTGGCAATTCCAAAAAAAATTAAAATTAATGATTGAATAAATAAAAAAATCTTGTTGTCTTTTCTGTCTTCACTAACAACCCTTTTGCGTCAAAAATGCTTGTATTTTTTTTGTTTTTTACTAAGATTCACTATTTTTTTCAAAAGAAACCTCCGTTGTTTTTCAAATTTGCTTCGCAATAACTACTTCACAATTTGATGTCGCGGTGACACGTGCGTAATTGTTAGCTCAATGCGGCGACGACTGGTTCCCAACGTGCTGCGCGGGGCCCAATTTAGAAGACATGATGAAAAGGCGGTAACCAGTCTGTGCATAGCTACCATATGCGCTAGCGCTAGCATGGCTATGCATGACCCATGACTTCACATTAACCTTGCATATTTTGCAAGCTTATATCTGGGTCATTCCGCCAGGTTGGGTCAATAAGTGTGACACACATAACAAAATTTCAAAGTGCAGCTTTTCAAATTTTAAGCAAATATTAAAAGTCCACAAATATTCACCATTCATAATTTCTTAAACTTTTTATTGCAGCATGTGCATGGAAAATGCAGTAATCTATTACAATAACAGTGTGCACTTTCCAAATACCCATGTAACAAGGACACCATTCTAACACCACTATAGTTCTAGCAAGGTATAGGTCACAGATAAAGTTTCCCAATGGCTCATTTTATTTGTTGTTTTGGTAATCAATAACATTTCACGCATAAACATTGCAGCCAAGATGGAAATTCTTACATTTTAATTATATAAATTCAGTGGGAAAACAATCTACTGTATATGGTGAAGTTAAATGATATGCAAAAAATACCCTCTCCTTAGCAATATTCCTGTTTTCTCAAGACTCACTCCATGACAGCACTTATTTTGGCTTCTGCAGAGAAGAGCAGAAATGAGCAACACAACTATGAACAATTGTAATGCTGCACGATCAGGAAATGGGTTAAATTTGTTGCTCATATAGATGTTACCCACGTAACAAGGACACCGTATCTCTGTTACATCTTTCATTGCAAGGCTTTAAAGTTTGAGTCAAGAAACTAAATTTTAATATGTTGGATATTCAAATAAAACATGACCACTCAACATGGTGGTTGAAGTATACTTTGCATTCAGTTCTGAATCACTCAGTCTGTGACTTGTCAGGTGTCGACTGCCTTCATCATCGTTTGCAAAGGTAAGATGGTTCACACACAGCGGTTATTTACATGTATGTTTTCCCCAATTTTAAGCACTCTTGTTACAAGTCTAGAAACAATACAATTTCAACTTCTCAAATATTCACCATTCATAATTTCTTAAACTTTTTATAGCAGCATGTGCATGGAAAATGCAGTAATCTATTACAATAACAGTGTGCACTTTCCAAATACCCATGTAACAAGGACACCATTCTAACACCACTATAGTTATAGCAAGGTATAGGTCACAGATAAAGTTTCCCAATGGCTCATTTTATTTGTTGTTTTGGTAATCAATAACATTTCACGCATAAACATTGCAGCCAAGATGGAAATTCTTACATTTTAATTATATAAATTCAGTGGGAATACAATCTACTGTATATGGTGAAGTTAAATGATATGCAAAAAAATCCCTCTCCTTAGCAATATTCCTGTTTTCTCAAGACTCACTCCATGACAGCACTTATTTTGGCTTCTGCAGAGAAGAGCAGAAATGAGCAACACAACTATGAACAATTGTAATGCTGCAGGATCAGGAAATGGATTAAATTTGTTGCTCATATAGATGTTACCCACGTAACAAGGACACCGTATCTCTGTTACATCTTTCATTGCAAGGCCTTAAAGTTTGAGTCAAGAAACTAAATTTTAATATGTTGGATATCCAAATAAAACATAACCACTCATAATCGTGTGATTTGTATTATTTTTGTGTTCATGTTGTTCACTTCTTAAAATTAAAAACCATTCTGGAGCCTATCAACACCGGTTCAGGAGCACTGAGCTTCTGTTTGACGTCACAGAGCGGATGATGATAAATATGCTCTTCGCCCAGGGGCCAAGTGTAAAAAGCGCCTTGACGCATATAGGTGAGACGAACACCACAATCTGTCAGGTCAACAATCTGAAATATTTAAAATAAAAAAAAAAATATTTAAAATAATGTACATGGTGAATAAAACATGTCACAAAAACATCATTTCCTGGTTTTAGAAGGGTTGCATGGTTAGGTGAAGTGCTAAGACGGAGATTGATACGTAAATTGAGCTGCGGGGGCCCCATGCTGTCAGTATCTGTAAGGTTCAAATATCGAATATAAGCCAAGGTATCATTGAATTGAACCCCCCCCCCCAAAAAAGAAAATTTCAAAAATAAAAAATCTTCAAACTTAACAAAAAATTACCAGATTTTACTTAAATACTCCCATTAACCATTAACAAACCATGCGGTCATGTGATGTGGATGTCCTTTAAAAAATCTAGCTAAGATTATCCTAAGAAATTTTGAAAAAGTGTCCATGCTAAAATCGTGATTTCTCATCAGAATTTCACTTTTTGGTGGTTGATTAGCTGTAAATAAGGAAAATATAGTGGGGGTATAAGTAAAATCTTTCATTGCTCGCGACGGTGATGTCGTTTTCGTCCCGTCCCCAGTGCGTGCTGGTGTGAACGAATGCAGTGCGGTCAATGTGCGTCCGTGATGTTTATATGTGTCTTAGATCCTGACTCTCCACTATCGTTCGAACTGCACTAAACAAGAACCTGCCTATAATTATATGCGTTAACCGGTTCCCGCCTGTACACGGGGAAACTAAACCCATCATTAAGGAACCAGTGTACGTGCATACATCACGTGACACCGAGTCGCCGCTCTCCACTCGTACTCGATGTCGAAACGATCAAATTACATACGTGTCTGTACATGTACGTTCACACCAGCGTGCACTGGGGACATCACCGCATTGCCTTCCCAAACTAGTAAACAGACATCCACAAACTCAAGAAAAGCTCTCGAAAAAGAACGGCAAATATTACTTTTATCTCCGAATCATAACTTAACCTAAGTACCATCATTAATTCTCGATGTGAACTGGATCCCTAAGGGGTCATGTTGGGCAATGTGGGGTTTGTTTTGGGGGTAAAATCTGGCGATTTTCACGGCAAAGGTTGTCTGATGAATTAATTTACAGTCGAACACTGACATTACTGTCGCCCGAAAAAGGCCACATGAAATGTAAAGAAAAGACGATTTTTAGAGTCCTACTAGTTCCTTGGAGTAGTAATTACTGTAAAACTTAGACGAAACTCAAACAGAACAATATGATACGCTGATGTTTTCTGCTAGAAACCAGTTATTTACTCACCAATCCACAATTCAAAAGCGGCCAAAAAATTTCCGCGTCGTCGTTGCAATTTGGCGAAGCGCGCGAAACCGACGCAACAGGACAGCAGTCACATTTCACCCTACACATGTAGCATGCTAGCCCGTAATAGTATCCATGTGACCTACTCAACGTCATATGGAAAGGGTATACATTTTGGGCCAGAACCATCTTCCAAAGCGGGGGATAGGAAAAAATAGGCGGTCACATCTGACCCACGCAACGCAAATCACGCAGGACACCGGACTTGCGTTGAACTTTTTAAATCAAGTATCTTCGTAAACTCGCTGCATATTTCATGGCTTTTATCACTTGTTTTTAAAAATGTATCCCAGCATTTCTACCAGTTACAAAATGAAAACTAGTAACATTATCGGAATGTTAGTAAATAAAAGCAAACTACCCATGCAACACGAGCGGCATAGGAAGACACCACGCGTTACGTCGGTACGTACAAATTTAACTTCTTGTGTTTTACCAATGCAATGGTTCTGCACAAAATAAATAATTTTGTGGGAAAGCTTCACTCTAGTTGAATAAGCACCGGTAGCATGTTCATCAAAATGAGAAAATTATATCTGTTTTTAAAGGTATATTCAAATCGTTTATACAATATAACGCTGGGGGTGGGTAAAAGTACTGAGGACACCACAGAAAAATGGTACAAATCATCAACATTCACAAAGATTTTTTTTTGAAAAATTGCTGGGAGTTTATTATTGACTTTTCAATTCAAATATATTTTACAAATGAAAACATTAGTGCCACACTACATAAGCAAAAATTAACTTTGAACACATTCATATGTGCAAATTACTCAAATGACCCAACCTGGTGGAATGACCCATCTACAGAACCACACGTTCGATCGGGTTGAAACTTGGTATGTACCGGTACCTAAACCAGGATATGTTATAGATGAAAATTGAAGTGACGTCACGATGTCGTCATCAAATGACATGTGACGTCATATTAAAAGTGCATATTCTGAAGGCTAATATCTACAGAACTATAGGTCTGATTGGGTTGAAACTTGGTATGTACCTAAACCAGGATGTTATACAGATGAAAATTGAAGTGACGTCACAATGACTTCATCACATGACATGTGACGCCACATTAAAAGTACATATTTTGAAGGCAAATATCTACAGAACAACAGGTCCGATTGGGTTGAAACTTGGTATGTACCTAGACCGGGATGTGTTTATAGATGAAAATTGAATTGACTTCACAAAACGTCATCACATGACATGTGACGGCATATTAAATGTGCATATTTTGAAGGCCAATATCTACAGAACCGTATTGGTCCCGATCACTCTACCGCACATGTCCTGTCAGTCTTACATGACATCAAAATATATATACAAATTACCGAAACAGTCGCATGTTTGTACACAAACATAAAGAAATAATTGCTTGTCCACTTGAAAGCAGAAAAGCATTTTTTTTTGTTCAGATTTTTGTTGGCTTTTCTGCAATTTGAAGACAAGCCTTTGTTTTTTTTCAGATGTTTTTTTGGGTTTTTTTTTTTTCTTCATATTCTTGTTGGCAAAAATCCCATAGACTTTGTGCATGTTTCATTAACCTGGTCACTTTTCACAATAAACAATCTTGATGAAAGTTGGCACAAACGAAGACCACATAGTGAGTTAGTGTGCCGAAGAGTGACGTAATGATTATGTCACGTTGTCATCATGTGTCACGTGACGTCATCTTAAACTTGTGCAAACTTTAAGACCCTTTATCTAAAGAACAATTAGTCCGATTGGGTTGAAACTCGATATGTAGGTAGACCGGGACGTGTTATAGATAGAAATTGAGGTGACATCATAATGACATCATCTTGTGATTTTATATCGATTTTTGAAGTTTTGGACCTTTAAGCCATATCTCATGAACGCAATATGCTAAATTCTATGCTTTTTTGTATGAGGTTTGTTAAGCAATAGGCGTATGCACACAATTTTGAAAAATGTGTGACGTCATGAAAACACGTATAAGGGAATGTCCGATCGTCATGAAACTTGGTGGGTGGGTAGATAGTACTAGTGCACAAAATCTGAAATGACACCACGATGAAGTCATCATCAGATTTTTAAAATATTTACAAATTTATTCTGCTTACAAAATTTAACATTTTTATTCATCCCATTGGCTTCAAACTTGGTGCAGACTAAATCCACAATAGAATAATGAGGGGGGGGGGCCTCTTGCCATATTTTAAATTGGGAGTGCTGATAAAGTCCCACAATCGGGCACACTATATATTAACTAAAAGTGTGCAAATGCACCCTTCTCACGACTATTTATTTAGGGGGAGGCCGTTCACATGTACGTCACATTGTTACATTTGGCTAGTGCTATTTTTATTTTTTATGGAATTTCTTTTTTTGGGGGGGGGGCGCTAGACACATTTTTTTGGGGGGGGGGGGGCTAAAGCCTCCCCCAGTAGTAAAGAACGGGAGGGTACGGTGACAAAATCTCTACTCTCCTCTCTCCCAGTATCTCTCCTCTCTCAATATCTCTCCTCTCTCCACCAGACCAAAAAAAAACTCTCCCACCAGACAAAACCCTCAGGAGAGGGGTACGGCGACAAAATGGAAAAATGTGTGGCAATCTGGACACGTCGCTCTGGTTTCTAAAAATAAATCTCACGGCGACAAAATGCCCAATATCTTTTTGTCTCCAAGTTGTTGGGGGTTCTAGACTTTATAGGGACTCGGCTGGCACCAGACTAAATCTCCAATATCTCTCTCTAAATATTTCAGTCTAGGCACCAGACCAGTCTCTTACTATCTCTTTATTAAAGGGATAGAGAGGTTTTTTATGATTTAAAACTTTATTTAAAAAAATCAATCATTTAGAATAAATGAATCTTTTTCAGAGTGAACACCCTGAGCTATCTGATAAAACAGATCAATGCGATCACCAGATTATCATCGAGAATGGATTCTCGATGCGGTAAAATAATCTCACGTTACTTTGATTTTTCAGCAGAAAATGCACAAGGAGAACGCATCAACTGGTCTTTTCTAAAGAAGAATCAAAAGAAAAATCTCAAGAAGCTGATTTGAGACATGTCTACAGAGCAAGACTCAGAAGACGTCCAAGAAACGATCAATAAATATAACGAGCTCGTTAATTACAAAACATTGAGGGGAAACGGATGCGTCAAAAGATCATTAATAGCAGCGTGTTATTACAACGTCTTTAGATTAGACAAAGAACGAGTCAGAGATTTATTTAAAGTGACACAAAATCAATTTGATAAAGCCTTAAAAAGATACGATGACCACTACAATAAAGGCGGGGCTGACGGTAACACCCGTATAGGTGATATAGAGGGTATTGATGTATAACTCGGTGGATCGCTTTCATAATGTTTATTTGTAAGTTTTTCGATAAGATATTTTTTTTCTTTTGTCAGCTGTTCGTCTACCCGTTTTTTTTAAACTTCTTTTTCAAAGTCTGAATCATTTTTAATTTTTTGAAGCTTTGTACTGGTCTTTGTTCTAATTTTTTGCTTAAGCTCGTTAAATTTTGCAAGCTCTCTCGTAATCAATAAGAACTCTTCGTGCAATATATCTCCGTCGTTAATGGCTTGAGACACGTATTCTTCAATCGTGTTAAGTTTGGAGTCCGCTTATATTTTAATCTGGTCGTGCTTTTTCAGCTTGACGGATAATCACTTAGACGCGATTCTAAGCAGAATATCTACACCGAAAGCGCCTATAAACGTTCCTTCTAACACCAATCCAACGAGGGCTGATATAACACCCAAGAGAGCGGGAATACTGACAGCCCCCGCTATAGCCCCCAATCCTTCTAATCCTAGCTGTACGTAGTTAATCATGTCGATCATTCTCTTTATATTTTTATAAGTGCGCTCTCGGTGTCCTCTCTTTCAAGATTAGAGATCGAATCTCTTCAATCTTTTTTAGTCTGTACACTTTTGTTTCGTCGTTACTATTTAATCGGAGAACATCTCCAGAAATATCGGGGTATAACACCTTATTATCTATACTCATGTTTTTAATATAAAACGATTTTGAAATTAAAAGATCTCTTACTCTATCATTATACTCACCCCCTTGTTGTTGATGATCTGTCCTTTTTCACCTCTGATTGAAAATGTCAGTTTATCGATTATACCGTTTTTAAGTTTTTTGAAACCCTCGACTCTATCAGGCTCAGGTTCGCACGTACCCACGGGTACGATTTTTAAGAAATCATCAGGTCGGCCATCTAGGAAATTTGCACTCGTACTTAATTGCGGGCAGCAAATAAACAAAAAATTAAACGGATTAATGTGTAAGACCCCATATAGACCACTTTGGGTATCAGTCTTCCTTTGGGTAAATTAAGTAATCGAGAGATTACTAGGTGCGCAGGCTCAAACAAAAACGAGCGTATTAACACCAGGCACCGGATTAGATGCTCAGAGACAATTTAACGTCATCATAGAAAATAACAGCGTTGCTGTTGAAACCCCTCAGCCAGAGTCAAGTTATCATCCGGAAACCATTAACTCAACATGGTGACCTTGACCTTTGGCCTTTGACCCCAGAACCAGTCCCGACATGCCTGTACCAATGGGAATCCCCCTACTGAAGATAGACCCCAAAATTTCATGTCTAACTCAAGTTATCATTCGGAACCATTTACATTAAACTCACCACGGTGACCTTGACCTTTGACCTTTTGACCCCAAAACCAATTCCAACTTGCCTACTCCCAAGGGCAACCCTCTACCAAAGTTAGACACCAAAATCTCATTTCTAACTCAAGTTATCATCCGGAAACCATTTACCTTTAACTCACCACGGTGACCTTGACCTTTGACCTTTTGACCTCAAAACCAATCCCAACTTGCCTACTCCTAAGGGCAACCCCTTAATGAAGTTACAACCCCAAACAACATTTCTAACTCAAGTTATCATCCGGAAACTAAGCTACCCGGACGGACGGTCTAGCCAGACGGACGGACGGACGCCCTAGGCGATGACAATACCCCTCGAGCCTCTCGGCTGAGGAGTAAAAACATCATAAATGGGGAAGACAACATGGAAACGAGTATCGATCAATTTCAAGACTCGTTTCAGTATGCCAGAACGCCTTTAAATTTTGTCGTAAAACTGGGTTTGTATTAAATTCCATCCGATATGAACTTGAGGGTTGGAACGCACGATGGATGTAACAACAATCTTCAAATCGCTACCCAGATTATGAAAACTGGTTTGGTGCCAGATTTAAACTCACAACCTCAACCGGATGACTCTTTTGATGACACCGACGACGTCGCGGTACCAACACCCCCAGAGCCTATGACGAACGATATTGTATCACCAACACCAACACCAGCACCTACACCAACACCTGCAGTTTTAACCCAGGAGCCAACGAAACTACAAACTCACCAGGACGAAAAATTATTTTTGACGGTAGGAATGTTAGCTATCGTTGGCATGGGTATTTTGGCTTACGAGGCAACGCATTAAGTCACACTCTAATCGCACAAAAAAAAGCCTTACCAACTTTGTGGTGGTAAGGCTTTTTTTTTTAACTTTGATTACAACTATTACTACCATCGTTTTTGCAGGTAAGCCAAGGTCAAAAG